TTGGTAAATGGTAAGTTAAACTCTTCTCTAGTTAGCTGATTTTATTTATTAAGAATGAATGACTGCACAATATTGTTGGAAAAAATGACTTAAAATCTTCACTTCTATCCTAATGCATTGCCTAAAAGTTGCTCATTCAACCTTGCAATTATTAATGATAAAGTTACGTATCCTATTAGCAATATTAATCCTATTACGAAAAAAGTATCCGATACAGAGTTAATGCCATCCTCCACTTCTGCATGAGGTGCTGAAGCCGGAGAATTATGAGAGTCTATGTCAGCGGAGACAACTTGTAGGATAGTGCTTGCAATGATAACAAGCATAATAAGGAGGAAACTTGACAGTGCCATTTGTAAGGAAAATTGTCTGAAAAGATAGCACAGAAAATAGAGAATGAGAATGAGAGAACAGGTTATAGAAAAGGAGCATGTCCTCACTCCCCTTTATGTACAAAAAAATTTCAACATCTCTTTCAATGATAAAGTACAATGTAATCTACAGAAAATATGACATTTATCGACCACCACAATCGGTTGCTAAATTGCTAAAATCGGTCGCTATTCACCTTAGCGACTAAATTTAAGTAGTTACAAAAATCCTGATCGTAAAGCTATATAGCGACGGAAATATCATAGGTCACTGTTTAGCGATCAAAAATTTTGATCTCAAAATGGTTGCAATGATTTTGGTCGCTGTTGTATATGGGGACCAAATTAGTCACCGAATAAGACATCGTTAAGTATGTTTTTATTTTTAAATAGAATTTCGGTCGCTGAATATTTATTTTTTATTTTATTAAATTTTATAGACGTCGCAAATTCGGTCGCTGTTCGTATCACTACGAACTACTCATATTTGGTATCTCAAGAATTATATTTCACAATACTTCATTTTTTAGTGTGTTTTGTCCTTACTTGCACAATTTATATATGGAAAACTTCTTAGAAAGTCACTCATCCTTATATTACTCCAAATCAAGCACGCTTAACTGTGAAGTTCTTATGAGATAAGCTACCGAAAAACAGATACATGTTATTAATATAGGTAGTACAAATTAATTCATTTAAGTCATCCTCAACTATACAATTTCATAGTACTTATACTATCTTTAGATCCATCTCATTTCGATGTGTCTGAACTGTTATAAATATATAATAATTATATTACTAATAATAATAATTATATTATATTTAATTAATCTTTATTTATATATATATATATAGTTACTTTTATAATTAACAATCTACTTATTTCTATTTAAAATTAATATTATGATACAATTTAAATTATTTATTATAAATTTAAAAGTTTAAATAATAATTTATATATTTTAAAATGAGAAGGGTTATAATAAACACTGGTGTAACTTTTACTAAGTATTTACACCGCCTCAATAACTTTATATTACATGTAAAATTTTGTAAATCTAACCGTTAGATTGAAAGTTCATATCACTTTATATGTTTATATCAAATTTTGTTAAAATTGAACAACAACTTGAAGGTAATCATAGTGTTCATATTTTAGTATATTTTGAAATGTATATATTACGTCAATTTTGTTTTACAAAAAAGAATTATCAAATCATCTTGAACTAATATAAAATTTTGTATATATCATCTAAGAGTAAAAAACTTTCAATATAACGGTTGAATTTATAAAATTCACATTTAATATAAAGTTATTGAGCGGTGTAATACTTAGTAAAAGTTACACCGGTGTTATTATAACCATTCTCTTTTAAAATATTATTTTTATAAATTAAATTTTAACATTTTAAATAAATTATTAATTAACTTAATATATTTATTCATCTTAAATCTAAGATATAAAATTCAAAAAATGTATTTATCCTTGTTTTATTTTCTAATTATCAACCATTAATAAAATACTAATTTAAAATCTTAT